AATAAATAAATAAAACGATGCATCCGAAGAAGTGGGCTGTAGTCCACGAAAGCTTATGCTCTAATAAATTTGTTAGTCTCTAAGGTGCCACAAGTACTCCTGTTCTTCTTTTTGCGGATACAGACTAACACGGCTGCTACTCTGAAACTTAAATCTGTATTTATTACAGAAGAGATCGTATTCACAAACCCTCAAGACAAACATAAACAGTTATAAAGACAATTATTTTAAGATACGACTGTTAGACAGGAATAGTATGATTAAAAGTGATATTATAAAATTAGCCTCACATTTATTAGTTAAGACTTACGTCTTTTGAAAAAAGGTTTTAACTCTTGTTTGAACAATCTCTCTCTGCCATTGCAATAATTTATCAGTTGCTCCCTCATATCACCACCAGATGGGGCTCAATTATAGCTGAATTCGTTTATCATTATATAATTTTATATTATATTATATACGCACACAATTTATATTATCCACATTATTCATTTTAAAATATATTATAGTCACATACTCTCTCCTTTAACAAAAATACATATTTTAATTACCAACATAACCAGTATTATACCTACAATACTCTCAAAACTATTTCCTACATTGCATGCCCTGTTCAGATTAAGTTTGCGTTAATAAGAAGAGCAAGTATGTTCAAGAATTACAGTGCTAGTTTTGTAGCAGGCTTCTGCCTTGCTGGGATCTAGAACATATGGAGAGTCTCACTGCCTGTTGTGAAATCACTACAAGTACTTTAAAGCTTGCTCTCATGCCAGTGCCTTATCTAGTTCCGGGTTAAATGGTGGCAGCAGGATGAGACGCAATTATATTAATTGTAGGTGGAAATCAATTACAATCAATCCAGAATTGCTTTTGCTTTATAAAAAGTAGTTTTACCTTAAAAAAAAAAAGAAAAAAAAAGAAAAACCCTCGTGTCATACAGCTTCGAAATTCAGTAAGGGAAATGTCCTATTTTTATCACCTACTTTCTCGCTTTCTGGAGGCTTTCCTTACTATGTGGTTGTTGTTGCTGTTGTTTTAACTTTCCCCTTTGCAGTTGACATGAGCAATAATTCCCATAGAAAATAACTGAGCTTCCATTTTAGATACTCAAATGTTTCAGGACTGACTTGGAGGGGGAGAGAGCAAGAGCGAGGGCATTCGCCCATTTTCTCAGCCTAAGCAAGCCATGCTGGGCACTCTGGTCCATGTCAATCAGCAGCACTCTGTGAGTAGGATCAGTAGCAGCAGGGACCTCAAATGTCTGTTTGATAAAGAGGTGGCACCATGGCAGCCAAACGCAAGTGATAAAATCACAAAATGGTAGAAAACACTGCAAATCCTCCAGGTGCTTCGCTAGAGTGGTGGGAGGGGCAAGTTAAAATTAAGATGCGTGCCTGTAAATCCGTTCCCTTATTAATAGTTTAGAGCCATATTCAATATTTTAAAAATGAATTTCTATGACTTCAGCTTTGAAGACTCCAGGGGGCTTATCAGGCCCAGCTCCTGCAGAGGCTAATCCTGATTCTGCAGCAAAAAGCAACACTCCTCCCTCACAGAGCATCTCTGACTCAGGGGTTTGGCAGCACCCACTTGATTCACATGGGGCCTTCCCCTGCAGCTCCACATCAGTATTTCCCCACAGATGTGGTCACAAGCGCATTTTCTCAAACAAGTAGTGACCTAGCAATTGATTAGCCCTCCAGATACGCTGGCTTTTAAATAAAACCTGAACACAGAAAGAAGTGTCTCTTTATATGACAATAGCAACACATCGTGGTGTCAGTCAGCCAAACACTGATCACGTGTATTTTATGCCAAGATTTTTTTCAAAAAGGGGAGGGGCTGCCTAAAGATAGGGGTCTAAATCCTTCTTTACGGTTGTAAACAAAACAGCCTGAACCTTTGTGAGCCCAGGTCATTTATTTAGGAGCCTAACCTTAGACACCCATTTTTGAAAATCTCAGTCTGTATCTGCAAAACTTCCAAGTAGGGAATATAGGACTGTTTCCATGGCATTTTGATCATGGTGTCATTCCAACATATTATTAGTATAAAAAAAGAACCTAAGCACACTGCAACCACAAAGTTAAGATGACACAGTCTCTTGGAGACAACAATGAGCTTTCAAGGCCCTTTTCTGACAGTGTCCCCCGATTTCTGTCTTTTGCCTAGCATTGCTACAGCTCTTTGGTATTTTAGAGCTTCACTTCCACTCCGTGCTGCGGGTGCTTTTCTGGGCCAGAGAGGAGGTCAGCTACCGTCTCTAGCCAGCTCCTTGTACACATGCTGCCTCTATCCTTACTCTGTGTATTTGACTCACTTTACTAGACTGACCCTGGGTGTTCCCCTGTACTTACAGTGCACAAAAGCCTGCCAGGTGCTGTACAGAAATATATTAAAACACCTGTCCCCTGCCCCAAAGAACGAACGTATTAATTACTGACAGGACAAACAACGGGGCGAGGGGTGGGGGAGGTGTTCGGGTGGAAGAGGAGAGGCAGGGAAGAACCATAGTTATAGGATCACACAGCAACTTCATTTTGGCACATGCACAGTGTGTCATATTCCGTGCGATATGGTTTTTTTTTTTAAATTACCACACCTGTGGGTGATAAGGCAGAAGTGAGTTCAATTAAATGGAGGAAGAGGGAATTAAATGGTGGCTCAGTAAATGGGGATTCAGAGAGCATGTTTCGTGCATAGGAAAGAGGTGCAGCTGGGAGAAGGAAACAGAAGGGGCGGGGGGGCAAGAAAATGAGATGGGTCAGAGAGGCAGGGCAGAGTGGCAGAGAGCTTTGGAAAAGTGAGAGCAAGCAACAGGATAACTGCCGAAAAAAGGGATAAAAAGGTAAATTTAAGAAGTCATAATAAATAAAGTATTTAAGAGCCAAGTACTGAAATATGACATTTGTACTGAACCCAAATGTCATAAAAATTTAACATTTTAGTTTGAACAGATGCTTAATTGTAGGCACTTAATGAACCATCATAAACCAAAAAAAGATTCCTGATATGGTTGTAAGCCAAGTACTATACTGTATAATGGCAGGGATAAATCAAGGAATCTCAGCCTGATGATTTGGTAGTCACAATGAACAGTGTATAGCAGATATAAAAACAATGAGCTAAATTCCAAACCAATGAACTCTAAGTGCTTGATTTAAAAAAAATAGATTCTATTTAAAAATTAAATAGACATAAATCATCCCTGTGAATGATGGGTGAAGACAAAAGTTGAGCAGCCTTCATGGAGGATTGTGGAGTTCAAAATTGGGCTTCTTGTTAAGTTCCTACAGAATCCAATAATACTGAAATAACACAGAGGGTCATAAAACCATAGAGCCTTAGTGAGGATTTTTAATTTTCTAATGGTGAGGAAGTTCTGGTCTCATCTACTTCCTCAATCACAAGGCAAAACATAAAAAGGAAGTGAGATTTGGGGTTGTTAAAGGTACAGAAGGCTCAGCATTCAAAACTATTCCATAACATACTGCATACATGGTTCTTTCCATTTGCACTAAAAATGGAAAGGGGAGAGATTTATTTTGGTTACAAAAAATCCCCCAAGACTTGATAGGTTCTTCCCAAAGTTTCCACGGCTTCTCTAAAATGTCCTTAAGCCAAAGAGCTGAGCCTGACCTGTGAAGTTCTGATCTAGGGCTGCACTTCCCCAGAGTTTGAGGCGGTTTGGATCTGATGTTTTAGTTCAAATTCATCTCTATCAAATATCCCTTGTGGAATGTGAGGTTAAATGCCTCTTCTTTGTTTGCACCCATTTCACATTGTCCTTTTTTCAGCCTTTAAACTGGTTTGTCAACAACCTAACATGACATGTTAGGAAGATTTTTAATGACTGGTAGATGTTCCTAACATTGTTGCCCCATGATAGAGAAACTGCATAAATGTGAATCCAAGATTTTCAGTAGTTAACTCTTCCACTTGCAGCTGCTCAGATACCATCAGCTCGTTAAAACATAGCTAAAGAAGGACATTGTCGAAAATCTTCCAATGTGGCCAACAAGAATGCCCAGGAGTGCTATGTAAAGAACACTGGGGGGAAATGAAGATCGCATGCCAGGACTAGATTCTCTTATTAAGGCCAGGGTTAGTTATGGGGACTCTGTACCTTGCAAGAGTGCTCAACACTTCACAGGAACAAGCCGTGGACCCAATTACCTACATCTGGTTTCCATACGGACATTCAAAAATACAGTGCTGATGAACAGAGAGGTGAATTGATTATTCAGTTAGTGTCTGCCTCCCTGACCCCAGATTACAGAAGTTAATGTTGCTGTGGCAGGAATATAAGCACATTGTGAATAGCTCTGCAAATTATTGGAAGGAAAATTAATAGGAAATCCATACACTACGTTTATTATTTGTTAAATGCAATATGCTTGGCGCTGTACTAGACAAAATCCAGAGAGCCCCTGCCACAAAAAGCTTTGAATTTAAGCATTATATAGGACATAATTCTCAATTCCTCTCACTTGAAAAGTTATCCATCTGTGTATTTTCTGAAATCTTTTATTCCATTTTTTTTAAAGGATTCAGCTATGGAATCACATGTTGTCAAAGTGCTCTTGATCTGCATGTTTCTTCCCCCTCTTAAATGAGTTGTTAGTGGGAACTGAAGTGTCTGTTAAATCCAGAATACGTTAACAAAATATATATAAAGCTGACTTGTGACATGCACTTTAAGAAACGGTTACTCTGCATGTTTCCCAGCTTCTAGCTCCTTGATGCTCTCTGCCATGCTGTAGGTGGCATCCAATCAGAGAGACTGCCACTGAGGGCCAGGGAGAAGGGCTGCAGTTTTTTTATTTTATATTCCAGCTAAGTACAGGGAATGTAAGACAGTAAGGTGTGTATAGCACGAATAATGAGTTGTGCTAATTCACAGAAATTCATTTTTTGCCATCACACACTGCTCCTTTTTCTATAGACCAACACTTTGAAAGTTCATTTTTATATGTCATTTACTTCCCTGGGGTGTAATGCTTCCTAAAAATATGGCCATTTCTTAGACTTTGATAGAAAATTATTTATGTTAAAGCAAATTCATTATTCTGGACACACTGGAAGTAGAAGATTTTATTTTATTTTTTAAATTAAGGTGATTTCAAAGAGACACATTTGGAACATACAGCAAAGACCAATATTGTCAGCAGAGGCTGAACCTTACACATGGGTCTTCTGAGCACAGAAGGGATATCAGGAGGTTTATTAAATGAGGGAACGCAAGTCTCAGTTGGACAGATCACTTGATTAAAAAGCACAAAGGAAAAACTGATTAAGACAACGAGGTTGCTGTAAGCAGTTACCCCATCGAATCCCAAAGAAAACAGAATCACATCTTTGTGGTGTAAAAACACACAGTAGCAATTAAAGCCGCACAGAAAATATGCATGTGGGGGGAAGTCTGACAACTGGCATCAAGAGGTTAACTCTTCCATTCTTTTTAATCAGTAACTAGTTCTGTCATCTTTTGGTTCAGTGCAAAACCTCCCCAGAGAAGCGCCTCCGTTCTTTGAATGTCCATAAGGCAATTAGGTTTTACATTTTTAAAACTGAAGGGTTTTACAGGATGAGCCAATTTATATGTTTCCATAATAAGAAAAGACTCAGGGCTACTGAAGGATCTATTACAAAATGGCTTAGGTGGTGCATTATTGAATCATACAAAGCCAAGGGGCTTCCAGGTCCCAGAGTCTTTAACAATCATTTTGTGGGAACTACCTGGGCAGAATACAGAACAGCTTCATTTTTGGAAACCTGTAAAGAAGCCATTTGCTATTTGGAGTTCCTTGAACACGTGCAGAACAAAGCGCTATAAATCAGAGGGTCAGGCTTGAACACAGGCAGCGTTTGGTAGAAGGGTGCTGCAATAGCAGTGGGTGGTTAGGTTTCTTAGTTCCTGAGCCTTTTTATTGTCTTAATAAAGCCGGTCAAGTCCCAATCATAAAACCAGTTGGGTGAATATAGCTGTGAGCAAAAATGGGTGATAGCTTTCAAACTGGAAAATTGTAACAGCTATATCTACCAATTAAAGCTGTTCCGTGAACAAATCTGATGATTAACTGGATATGTAATTAAGCCTTTATTATTAGTCTAATTGGATGGTTAAGGGAATTATTAAGGCTGTTAAGATTCTGTGCAGCAAGCTGGCTGTGCAGTACGGGCAATATGAAATTCAGCTCATTATTAGCCAGGCCAGGTGAACGTGTGAGTGGAAATTCGAGCCAGCCGCACCCAAACCTTTCAAACCTAGCCCAAATAAACCTGAACGCAGAGTTCAGCTCAGCAGAGAATGTTGTGCTATTCCACTGCAACTTGCATTAATTGGCCAAGCAAAGACTTGCCACCGGGTGGCAGAGTAAAGGGAGGAGATTCTCAGACACTGGCCCAGGACAGCCTCAGTCTCGGACACTAGGTCCTTGAAGTCTTGGTGGGAAGGAACTCTTGCGACATAGAGATGTGGTCAGTTAAGAAGCAGCCTGCACTGCAGTAGTCCTTCTCCCTGAAGTGTGGAGAGGAGGAGAGAGCGGACTGAGTCCCAGAAGAGTCTGGCACTCCAAGACTGAGTCCCTGGAGCACAAGGCAAAGGAATGAGATTGACAAATTTGCAGAATCTGAAACCAATCTGTGTGGCTGCCCGCAAAACCTGAACTTTTCCAGGCTCACTTAGCCCACGATCCTTGGTTCAATATTCTCCTTGCTCCATGCCTACACCAGCGACAGCACAGTCAGTGCACTTCAGCACAGACTCTGTGGAAAAGGAATAGCCAGCGACAAGCTGAGTATTAACGACAAAACTTATCTCCAGCTCACACTTTCAGCTGCCACACCTAGTGAACAAGGGACTGCACTTTGGAAAAAGACAATCCTTACCTTTAGAATCTCTCAGTGGTAAAAAATCACGGGAATGATTTCCCATTGCCTCACACCTTTTTTCATCATTTACACCCGTGCAGAGTGAGTGGAAAATTCCAACCTGCAAACATTAAAACTTTGCAGTGGTGTCAATGACAATACAAGTTGCAAGGCAGTAGAGAACCAGACCTCAGAAGTCCCTTGACTATGACAAGAGGTGCTCACCCCTCTTTGCCCACCAAGAAAAAAAAATAATACAAGCTTACCTGGTGTTTGAGAGAGGAATTTATATAACATGAAGGCCAGTGGAATTATGGTTATCAAACAGTTATCTCCATTGGTCTCAATGAAGTCATGTCTGGTTATTGCTGTTGGATCAATATGATGCTCTCTAAATGGCCTGATAAATGCCTGTTGGTAGAAAAAAACAAGATTTATTTTAATTATTTTTGCAGTGGTCCTACAGAGTTTTTCCCAAGTTTGTGTGTTCAGTGTGAACACACAATCCATTTTCCTACCAATATGAAAAATCCTGAATTTAACAAAGGTTACTAAAAGTATGATTTTATCAATTAAACGTAGCTTGAGAGCATTAAAAAAAAGTATAATTATCACCAGAACTCAAAGCGTTCACAGTGAAGAGGCTTCATGGAGCCCAAGGACTGTGGTTGGGTGATGGTGCAGGAATGCAGACGTTTTCCTAGTTTGCATACCCATCCAGAACCAGCCACAACCTACCCAATACAGCAGAGGAACCTTTAGTGTTATAGCCAACACAGATACGTAACACAGAGGCCATGCCAAACACAGCAAATAGCTTTATGTGCTAATAGGCAGGGGTACAACAAATCTAGAGGACAAAATGGGCCACATTTTAAAAGACCAGTTCTAATTTTTGTGTCCACAATTAATGTCAGTTGAGAAAAAACTAATTACAGTTAAGTGGGTAAAAATACGGCCTAAAGATAACAAGCCACAAGTAATCAATGGTGTTACATTGGAATGGCATATGTGTGCGGAACACGTATCAATTCCCTAAGGGGTTGATTGTGGGTCTGGTATTCTTCAGCATACGTTAATATCTTGGATGACAACACAAATCTGAACACATAAATTTGCATATAACACAAAAACTACAAGTTACAGAAATCACAGAAGTTTGTGTTTTTGTTTGGATGCAAGTGCTAGCATTCCTGTATGAGAGCTAGGGATTGTTGTTGTTATTATTGAACAAGAACATCTTGGTGAAAATTTGCTACTGGAGTAATGCCTTAACTTGTGACCATTTAACATCCCAATTTTCTGTGGGGGTATATTCTGTTCAGACAAGACACTGGCACATCAAATGTCTGTGGAATGAAAATAAATATGGGATATCATTACTTCAGAAGACTGCGAGAACTTTATCTCCACTGCTACTGTTACAGGTTTCGGGTGTTCCTCTCCTATAACCACAGAACTGAAGCAACAGTTAGAAAAACGTTTGCTTTGACAACTAGCTTTTTACCAACTCGCATGGTTGTGGAGGTTTTGTAATTATATCAATTCTCACGCTAGATTAGCTGCTAGCAGGTTCATTTGTTGTACTGCAGCAAGCTAAGAAAGTAAAATTGTGGGATGAAAGCAATCATTTAAAAAAAAAACATGATAAAAATTCTTTTGGATCCCCACTTCTACAAAGGGAATACTTACACAACGGCCTAAAATGACAACAGGGGTATTACAACTCAGAACAGAGAGCTCCCACTAGAAACGACTTTCAAATTCTTGCTTTTCTGTATGAATATCATGTCACAGGATTACTGCTCAAATTCTCACAATGAATGGAATAATGTACTTTACAGAATATGCAAATTCTAAGTAAGCCAAACTCCACAAACAAAACTAAGGTTTACTTAACACAACCACAAAGAACCGTAGAGACATTACAATTACAACTTCTGCATTTGAATTTCCAGATTTAATATCACACTTTTACAGCTACAAGATTTTACATTCTATGGGTACATGGATATTGACTGATACTACGGAACAAAAAGGAAGGAATTCATTAGAGAAAAGACAATATAAGGAAGATAGAGAAATTCTGGTACCGAAACTAGATTATTAAAAAGATAAGTTAATCAAGCTATAATTAGTACAATTCAACGTTCAAGCAAAGTGTATTTCCAACAAAAACTTGACCAGCAACAACATTACCTAGGGCCTTGTCTACACCGGGAGCATCATGTAGGTTACGTATAGCTACAATTTATATAGGAAAGCAGGCTGCAGCCAGACTGTGGTATGTAGCTACATGCAGCAGTGAAAAGCTCTGGCTGAGGAGAGGTAGCGGGGAAAAGCTCTGGCAGTTTTCCACTGCTGAAGCCTTTCTCTGTGGCGGGAAAAGGCTCCAGAAGCAGGATGCTACATGCTAAATATAAGAGCATAGACAGGAGAGGCACTGCTCGGGCATGTAGAGAGCCATACAAGGTATATACCCTAAGGTTCTAGCATGTCTTTGCTCCACTCACCTAGCAGTGTGGATGGGGAAGCACTGCTTATTTATACCCATGCTTGGGGGACATGCAGAGTCTGTACTCTTTATGCCATCACAAGTGTAGGCATAGCCTTAGACAGATATAGAACATCAAAATATCTCATTGTATTGATGCTCATGAAAAAAAAGCTATACTAATCTCTTCATACTAATTCTCCTTCTTGTCTATCAAGCACCTAGAACATGTTTGAGGCTGACTAGTGAACAAATAACCACTCAATACAAATAACCATAAAAAGAAGGCTATCCCAAGTAAGGGCGAGTTAATTTGTGCTTGAGGTATAAACATATCTTGGATCAGTTTTCCCAGCAAGCACTGTAAGTTTCCTCTGATTGTTGCTAATCATTCTATTTATTTTAACTGCTATATTTTTATAAAAACAATGAGGAGTCCGGTAGTACCTTAAAGACAAACATATTTATTTATTTATTTATTTTTATAAAAAACTCTTAGAATCTTGTACACAAAATAAGTAATAGATTTGTGTGTGACAGTCACTGTTGCTAAGTTAATTATAACCGTATACTGAGTTCCCCCAATAAATTGTTTTCAGTTACTAGTAGACTCTAAAAGGAAAACGGCAGGTGGACAAATGCAGTTTATTACGTTTTAAGGCCCTGATCTAGCAACTGACCACACACCTGCACAGATGTGCACCCACACGGAACATCACCCATTGCAATGGGGCTCAGAGAAAGAACAGTGGTGCATCTGCATGTGGTCAATTGCAAGATCAATGTCTTAGCTGGTAGGAAAAAAATTCTGATTGGATGAAAGACAATTTTTACATTTTGATGACACATTTATCATCTCGTAGAAAAATGTATTTCTTAGATCAACTTTCCAGGACACAAAAGTGAATTTGAAGACTGCTATGTATCTTTACAAGATGGCATATGACTTCAGAGAAAAGAAAATGATCCCAAGAACCTTGAAAGAAGGAAACACCATTGGTTTGAAGATGACTTATGGAATATTTTGTAAAATTTCTCAGGAGAAAGGGAATCAAAGCTGCTTTTCCCCACATATGAAAAAGGATGAAAACCTGTCATTCATCAAAGTGGGCGGCTGAAAGAAACAAAGAAAGAAACCCTGCAACATTTAAAAGATTGCAAAAATTTCTGAATGTCATTAGACACACCACCAAATTTATAGTACAGCACAAATACACCTATGTATGCATAATGATAGAAGCAAATGGAAGGGAATAGCACCATGTTGAGGTTCTTTCATGGAAATGGGATTGCAACACATGTCCAACTCTAAGAGATAAATCCCATGCTTTCAGACCAAATGGGAGTACTGCACATGTAAGGAGCTATTTGCTTTCAGGAGGATCTAAGAGAAGAATTTTACATGGTATTTCAACCATCTGTATCCACAAGTGCTTGAAAAGGGATTCTATGAATAGTGGAACAGCAGTGGAACAAACTCCATGAACTGAAAATACTGCCAAGCAGCAAATAGTGACTTTTTAAGTGGTACTGTAGCTGCCAGCTCATTAACAAATAAGATAATGGATATCGATTGCACGAAGATTATTATTTTATATTATAAGATTATTATTTGAAAGCTAATGTATATAAGTCCGTAACAAGCATTCTGACACTAAGCGCTGCTCCACATAAAATAAAAACCTGATATATATCTGACCAGTTACTAAATTCTAACCCTAACTTTCACGTATCCAGATGACGCAAAGGGTCACTTTAGGATGGAAGGTCGAGGTGAAGACTGGGCCGAGGCTGATGGGGCGCTATGTTTGCTGAGACTGGTGTGTGGCCGTGGGAGGGGAAATCTCCTGCCCTGGGTCTGAGGTGAGGCAGAGAAAGCACTCCATCATAAAACCTCCTCAGCTTAATCTTCCTTTTCTTCCTGGCCCTGCTTTTAAGGGCTAAACAGAAATTGTACTTCTGTGGAACATGTGTTTCTCCTAGAGAACGAACGCACCAGGAATGCCAGTCACTGACTAGGATCACCTCCCAGCAAGTGAGACAATATCAGAACCAGGGCCGACTCTAGCGTTTTTGCTGCCCCAAGCGGCCAAAAAACAAAACAAAACAAAAAACAAACAAAAAAACCGCAGCGATCGGCAGCACTTCGGCGGCATCTCTACCGCTGCCGCTTCATTCCTCGGGGCAATTCGGCGGTAGGTCCTTCCCTCCGAGAGGGACTGAGAGACCCGCCGCCAAATTGCCGCCAAAGAGCTGCACGTGCCACCCCTTTCCGTTCGCCGCCCCAAGCACCTGCTTCTTGCACTGGTGCCTGGAGCCGGCCATGATCAGAACCCCGGTGATCTCGGCATATCTCCGAGCGGAGGGAGAACCTCCAAGAAGGAAGTTGCGGGAGGAGGAGGAGAGGAATAAAGACAAGGCACAATCCTCTAACAAAAACCAGCAAATTCAACAATACTAAACACTAAACAAATAAAACTAACAATTAACTAAAGACTAGTTGAGGCAAGCTTGACCAATTGAAGTGGGCATGCTGGATGTGCTGTCTCAGGCCAAGGTGGTTGAGAAGGCACTGAGGGGGATTCATCCATACAGCCCTACATAGCCTTTGTTGCATGGCACGAGAATGAGTAGGGTGTATGAGTGCGCCTAACGGGCATTACTACCGAAAATCTCCAATCGAAAGCACATACACACTTGACATGGAGCATCCTAGGGACACTACTCAAAGAACTGTCTTTTGGAAAGAATGTCCCTTTCTGGTAACTCATGCTTTGAAAGCATAAAACAATCTAGCCTTAGACCTAGAAAGATCCTACATTACTAAGAGATTATGGCATTAAGAGATTTCGTTATCTGGTGTGTAAGAAGCAAGGAATTTCTCAAAGAACTTTCAAAAAACCCAGCACGTTTAATT